GAAGACTCGGGGGTTTAAACAAGCTATTGGCTCCATTTCTGTGCATCGGTAGCTACGGTGATAAGCAAAATTTGGAATCCCTTCTGAAATCTGGAAATGAGAAAAAATTCAAAGAATAAGTATTTGCAAGTATTTTGGTCATATACTGATCTGATGCACTTTTGCAAAATGCTTGAAGACGTATTTGTATTAAAAACCGTAGTGCAGTTTTTCTCTTTATTGGACTAAATGTATTTCTGGTTTAATGATAATGAATTTGGTAAGAATGGCTTGATGATATAAATGAATATATTTAAATATCAAACTTCATGTGAATTCTGTGTAATAATAGAAAAGAGATTTTGGAGAACACTGTTTTGAGTATCCTTGATGTAGTAATTGGAGTATATTCATTTCACATGACTGTCATTAGGGAAGACAGACAAAATCCTGTCATTGAGTTTTGTAGGTGTGATTCCCATGTATGGACATTCTCTTTACTCAGTGAATGGGATTGCTGAAAGAGAAACTATTGATAGTTTTGACTCTGGTCTCAACAAAGGAATGAGAGAGAGAAGAAACATGTTTCTTTGAAGGATAAGTCTGTCAGTCTACTTGATGGGAAGTTCCGAGTCCTGTACTGTTGCTAGGTGATGTGTGACAGAAGAGGTATTTGAACCAGCTCTGAAATCTGTGTCGGGATTGTTACCAGTAAATTGAATCCAGTTAGCGAGAGCATTTGGTTTCTGAGGGTCACACTGGTGAACTGCAGCAGCCCACGGCTGCTTAAGAGGCAGTGCAGAGTGATGGTCCCTTTGCAAGGAGAGATTTGGGGTGTGCCACTTGCCGTGGGATTTTCTCACCTCCAGAAGTTAGACATCTCCTGTAAACGGCTTGCACCTGCACCTCCTCTACTCACTAGCCAGCGAGCAGGCTGTCAGGTGGTGGTAGTTTACTTCTCTGTGGCACAGCTGGGGAAATAGCTGCCTAGGGAGGTGCTTCGCTTCTTGCTTGGCTGTAGATGCAGATGGACTGACTGGACAGTGAGACACTTAGCCTCTGGAGACAAAGATAAGAAGCAACTCCCATCGTTGTGGACCCAAGACGTCGTGCAGCCCAGAACTGTGTGCTTTAGCTACCAGAGACGGTACGAAATCCCTTCAACCGGGTATTAGAAAGTAATTCCTACCCATATTTGTTCTTCTGTGCTGGGCAGCTTGCACCGTGGAGTTCAGTTGGATCAGTTCAGCTTGGAAACTCTGCCGAAGTCCTTAGCTAGCCATAGGGGTAAGTGGTCTGATTTTAAGAGACCCTTAGTGTTCCTTGCTCATGCTGCCCCTACTACAGCTGCTTACTTGGAGCTTAAAGTTTTAAGATCTGGTATGTTGAAATCTGGGTCAAATATATGAAATATACATGCTCCCTCTATATATGTATATACACTTTTGTTGAGTGCATTCCTGAAGATAAGACTTTGTTCTATTTGAAGAAAATCTGTGGGAGTTTTGCCTTTGACAGAGTCAGAATGTAAGGTCCCATTTTAGCAAGGTTCTGCTTTTAATTTAAGCACAAACTTGCCTGTTTCCTGGAAAACTCTTTGCATATGTAACTATCTAATTAAGGGTTTTTTTCCCCTCTTTTCCCCTCTCCTGGGATACATAAGGAGCTAGAAAAATGTAAATGTAGTTTTGAATGCTCGGAGATCTTGTCCTGATGAGCATGGAACAACGATGAAATTCTGTTGCCAATTTTTTGAACACCTCCAGTCTTGAAGTTGTCAGGACACAAATATAGCTATTTGGGACTATGATATAGAGTCTAGGGGATTCTGAAGTACCTGTATAGCTACATGATATAGTTTAAAAATCTACAACAAAATAGGCAGTTATAGCCAACTCTGCTTTACTGAAACTTTTGCTTCATTAAATACAGTGTTTTAGAGTGTTGCAGATTTTTAGTACTGGAAACAGAAAGCACTTGGAAATTGCAAGTCAGATTGATAGAAGTAAGGAAAACAGCTGACAAACACTGAATTTGTGTATAGGGTTTGCTGGGGGTTTATTTTGGGGTTGGTTTTTCTAGACATCTACTTTTTGGAGGCTTTGGGATGCTTTTCCTACCTACAGCTTCAGTAAGACTCCAATATTTAATTGCCACCTTAAAGACAATGTTTTACTGCATGCGATGTGTGAGAATTTCGGTTGATAGCTGTTTGGGGGCAGGGAGCGTATGACGTTTTTGCATGCACGGGAGTGAATGTTGTATAGATAATGTAGTGCACGCTGCACGTGGTCTACATGTGTAGTTTAGCTCTAATGACTCCTTTAGATTGTAAATCATGTCTTCAAACACCAAAAAATTTCCTATAGTACTTTAATTGCACAACGGTTCTAGCAGCCCAGGAGTTCTTGCTGAGTCTTTTGATAATGATCCAGTCTGGGCATCGCATTGTCTGTAACTATTAAACCCCGAGGAAAATCTTTAGCATCGGACAGATTCTTTTACTGTTTAACATAGGTCTGGGACCAGAGAGAGCAGCTTTCAGAGACAGTGCTGCAGCTTTGAGAAGCGTTAGGAACAAAAGGTGGTGCGGTATATCTGAGGTGAAACCTTGGCTGACCTGCTGCCCCTTGGTGTGTTTAAATCAGTGATTGAGTTTCAGTGAACTGCATGGCAGCCTTTTAGATATACGTATGGCAACGTATTAAAAAGCCGGAAAATTTTTGCAGACAGATGGTGTGTTGCAAGTTTTCAGAAAAAAGTTTGAAGAGCTGGCGATAGTATTAAAAGATGTTATGGCACTTACTGTAATGTGCAGCGCACATGTTGATTGGGACTTCAGTTTTAAGAGCTACATTTTAATAACATCAACCACAGCTGAAAGCAGTGTTTGCGGAGATTGTCATTAATGTGGCTCAGCAGCCTCTTTAAGTGTACATTATTTTTATGATTTCTAGTGAAAGTAAAAATACAAAGGGAGAAAGTTTTGGAAGTCTGAAAACTATTCTTATCCATCTGTCTACAGGATCCTGGTTCTAACAAAACGTCATTATTCAGTGTTTGTTCATGAATGTTGTAGGAATTCCATAAGCTTTTGTTATTTTTTTCATGTTTCTGGCTAACTCCTTCTATTTTCTGTTTTCGTTTCAAATTGATTTAAGGTATATTTTCTGACAGTTTTGTCAAGACAGCAGAACCAAATAGGGAGGGCCTTTTACCAAATGAGCAGATAGTCCTCTGGCCAATTCTTGCCTCAGTTTGTCATGGTTAGTCTTATTTTTAATGGATTCTAAAGCTGTTTGTGCTGCCAGTACCGTCCTTGTCCCCTCCTCTGTATTTGCCTGCTCACAATTTGCATCTCTCTCCAGGAATCTGTCAGGTCTTCAGCCACAGAGATGTTCCATCAGAAATGGCTTTGCTGACCTGGTTTCTGGGCAAGTCTTCAGGCAGCTCCGGTCCTTGAGCTGAAGCTCCTGCTAGACTTTAGTGGAAGAGAAAAAGCAGCTGATGCCTAGATCTTTTGAGTAAAAGAGGCGAGAGGATGCTCCTTTGTCAGAAAACATCAAAGCAGGCTTAAATCATGGTGCTACCAAGGGAACTTTGAGTTAGATGGGCACTGTCAATAGCCTGCTGTTTGTTGAGTATCCCATGGACGCGTTCCCTAACATGATAGATCTTCAGTAGCTCAGGTGTTCAAAAACTGACTATAATCAATATTCAATAGGTATAATTATTCTGAACATCTCTCAAGGAGCTCAATACGTTCATAATAAGGCCCCAGTCTAGCAAAGAGCTTACGCCGAAAACCAATCTGTCTGCTTGTAAGCCAGTATATCAAATGCAGCTCCAAACAGCAGCAGACTTTCAGTCTCGTTCCTCAAAATGGAATTATCAAAATCAGAATAATCCGATTTACAGAAAAGAAGCTAAATTTGGTCTTGCTGCTTGTTTTTTTTCCCATGTGCTTTCCTATCATCTCCACAGGAAAACTTGCTGACATTTTAAAAAGGGCTTTGATTTATAGAGCTTCGATAGTCTTCAAGATTTTGATACAGGATATTTTGCTCATCTCAGTAGTGTTTGCGGCGTTTGTGTGGTAATAAGGGAGCAGAGCTGTACATGAGGAATGTGAAGAGCTGCCAGTGTGCTTTGGTATCTAAGTTTGAGAGCTTGAGATCTAAAAACCAAAGAATATGACCTAGATCACCAGTTAAGGGCTAAGTTGTCACTGGCGAGTGGAAATGCATCTGTCACCATTAAAGGGCAAATACACCCATGGCAGGGGTCAAAAAGGGCCAGGATCCTGTTAGTATCAAAATTATTCCCTTTCACAGAACTTATTTTTATGTATATATTTAAAAAACCCTATGTTAAGTTTGTGGAGCACATAGACATTGAGGTTACACTGAGATACCCAGGGTATGCAGTGTTTGCCCTTTATTAACAGGAGCTGCAATGGCAGCCATATAACGTCTTGCTGCAAGGGACTGTGTGCTTCAAACTTTGTTAGACAAGTCTTAGAATAGAAGAATTCAACATTCTACTCATCCAAACGAAGCACCCCAAAGAGGGTGAGAAGGTCTTGCCTTTAAAACCTGGAGAAAAATCTTGTGATTTAGAAGACCAACTTCATACTCAACATTGCCCGACTGGCCACTTATTCTGCACTTCAAAAAGCCTTACTGAGCCAGTTCCAGATAACTTCTCTTACGATTAATTTGCTTTGAAAAAGAAAGCATCCCATTTCAAATGTGTTTCGTTTTTACTCTGTGAAGCATTACTAATGCATATCCTAGACTATCTGGAGTATGATCCATCACAGAGACATCGTGCAGGTGACTATAAAGATGAAGGAAAAAGGCTATCTTCTTTCTTCTTTTGTTGATAGGGTTGCAGTTCATCACCAAGAAGGAAATTGTGAGCAAGAGGTTCAGCCAGGGAAAGGAAGAAAGGAATGACACACATGTGAAAGAGGATAAAAGCAGATAGACAGTCCTGTTTAGCTTGAGTTCAGAAAGAAGATGCTCTTCCCAGACAGGCCCTTTAGCGGAAGCGTTTATCAGTCTGATTTTGGGCTTGAAACGGTAGAGAGTAAAAAGCAGGTGAGTTCTCATCTCCCAGAGGAATTAAACAAAGCTTTGTAACGTTTAGCCTGTAAATAAAAGAGAAAGTAACCTGTCTAGTACTAAGCCATCACTAACTTAGCATCTTCAGGGCATTTCTCTAGCTTTTCTCCTAGAAGTAAATTACACAATTTCTTTGTCTTTCTCCTTTAACTCCTCATCTCTTGAACACAACTACTATTTTTATAACCCTCTTCTGTTTTTCTCTTATGTGAAAGCCTGTCATTAACTTGTTTACCCATGAAAACTTCCTTGTCTCAGAGCACAATCATATTCCTTCTTTACAGAACTCTCCAGCAGAATTATTCTGTCTGTTTTCCTGCAACACCTGCCGTCATACCCAGTATTTAATGAGGCTCAGCATTTTACGATAGACAGGCTTGTAGTTTCTTTCCAGTTAATATGCTATACCTCAGATGTTCTCCTACACCTTGTGAAGTATTTGGTGAACATATGCATAGCTCCATTGCCTACAAGCATCAGGAGATACCTTTTGGACTGAGGTCTTGTCGGTATGGGATTTCTTGCAAGATCCATGAGGAGTGGCCTTTTTCATGATCGTAAGCTTACCGTCCTGTTAGACTAAATTTAATTTGTATCCGTTGATGGAGATTTATATTCTTAATTCAAAAGTTCTTAAATATTAAGAAGCGCCATAAATACTAAACATATGCAGACAGTGTGGGTAAAAGGTTTGTGTGAGAGTAAACTATAAACTGCAGTATATATTTGTGGCAGTTTTGAAATCATTTGACTCTGCACAGAATCTGTCATGCCATAGTGATACAATTTGCTGGGCATTTTTTAGTATTTGTCCTAGGCTGAAATATCTTGCCTTTTAGGAAACCTGAGCTTTCAAATTATACTGGCCCTGTTCAAAGGATTGAGTTCAGTCTTGCGGGGCTTCTTTTCATCTGTCTTTGCCTTTATAGACTACATCTTGAGGCTAAGGACCAAGCAGTTTTCTTAGTTTGAAAGACACTGAATGCTTTTCTTGGAAACGCTGCAGCCTAATAGAAACTAGTAGAGTTGCAAAATAACCTGAAACTGTTTCTCACATGCTTATGTTAACAATGAAGCTGAGGTTCAGGCTATTATTAGCTGATAAAAAGCATTGAATATATCTTTCCTTCACAGAGATGTTATGTAGTCATTTCTATATTGGATATAAACCTGAAAAAAAAAGACTAAAACCTAAATATAAATTGAATAAATCATAATTTAAATAATACATGACCTTTTGGACATGAAGAGGGAGGGCATCGTGAAAATTCCGTTATTCATTTCATAGCGTTTAAGACAGTTAATTCTAGACAGTCTTCTCAGTTCCTTAGGAACAACTAAGTTCTCATTTTGGGCTTTATCTAAAATCCATTAAAATAATTCAGAATCTCGCTGCTGAGGCCAGTAGCCTTTGGGCAGATTGTGTTATTTTGATGAGCAAAACAATTTATGTATGCTTAACCTAGGAGACAAAATAGCTGAGAATAGGAATGTGCAGCCATAAACTAGACAGCTTTTAGTCTCTACTGTATCAACACAGAGCTCAGAGTAGTGATTTCTTTTCATCCTGCATTAATGGCTTTAAATATTTTAATGAATAATGAACCAGATCAGAACCTAGTGCCATCGTATTTAAAATGTTCAAAATAACACAAGTTTTCAAAATTGAAGTATTTGCAAAAATACTCGTCTCTTTTAGTATAAGTATGTGCAAAAGATTTTTAACTATTTTGTAATGTGTTTACCTGCAGGATCCAAAACTGCGCGAACTGTTGGATACTGGGAACTTAGGAGGTCGACTGGAAAATCGAATGATAACTGTTGTCTATGGTCCAGACCTGGTCAATATATCGTACTTGAACTTGGTGGCATTCCAAGAGGATATAGCAAAGGTAATACACATCCATCTATGTCATATAAAATTAATGTTTTTAAAGTATCGTTCTGAGATATGGATAAATGAGATAAAAGTGGAGATTGCTACGAAACGGACCTCAATTCTGTTATAGAGCTGTGCCGATCAGTACCCAAGAAGAAATGTGCAATCATTTTTATTCAGGGAGTTTATTCAGCAAAGTTTATGCCCACAATAGGTGTGCTTATTTTCAGAATATTGCCTGTAAAGCCCAAACAAGCATTGTGAAAAGAATGGTGCACGCCAATTTTTACTCAGCTGTCAGATGCATACTGTGACTCTCCAAACACGTATCACTATCTTTCAGCAGTTATCACCCTTCTATGCTTGTTCTAAGCGTGTGCAAATTATGGCTCACCTGTGAGAACAAAGTTTGCAAACGGACGATTTTTTTAGATTGGCCTGTATCAGAGTAGTCATCTACAGGTCTCCCTTGTATGCTCAAATATGTTGGCAAGCAGACACCTAATTTAACCTACCTGACCGTTTCTGCTCATGTTCAAAGGTCAATTTTAAGCATTGCATTTTTGTCTGCTGATTGCCCTTCATAAGAACTGTGAAGTAAAAGTATTTTTTCCACGCAGATATACAGTCCCTTCATTTCTGTCCAACACACCACGTAAAACAGTTGTGTGTGACATGCAAGTTACGATTGAATTTAGTGCATGTTTATGTTTTTTCCTTTTTCCACCTTCTGTATGATTCAGTTGTGTTCACTGAAGTGGGAGCTCTCTGCTTTATCTTTTCCAAATTGACATTCAAAAGCTATTTCTCTTCCTACTTCCATTCATATGGGTAGGCTCTGATGACAGCCTCCAGATAACCACACGCAGAACACACTTTCATATGATTTGCATCCTGTTATTTAACAACAGAAAGGAGTATTTTGTCACCTTGCAGGCAACAAAAACGGTCAGACCAGGTGAAAAAAGGTCATAGGATGAAAACCTTAAGCTAGGAGGATGTATTTTTGCTTGCCAGGTTTCTGTCTCTGCTAATCTTCATTAGCCAATTGGTCAATTTGGCAAAAAGACAATTTCTGCTGTTTCTTTGATATGAAAGAGTAGACACAAAATGAGTTTGTGGTGGTCCATGGACTGCTGAGTGGGAAGTGCTGTCTTCAGATTTGAAAACGCACAGCTATACTCTACAGGGGTGGTTAAGAAATCTTCACACTGCAAAAGTGAAAGTGATTGAAAAGCTCTTCAGGAGAAAAAAAAAGCTTATGATGGAAAATGAAAAGGTATACTAAAGCTTTACCAGCAAAAATCGTTAGCCCTTACCGAGGAAGAGGGAAAATCACCTAAATCAGAAGCATGTGTCCTCCTTTTTCGCTTTCCTGCCTAGCCAGCAGTCAGTGAACCATAATCTATTTCCTAAAACAGTGCAGAAATTGGTATTTAAGGGCCGTTTTCTGTTTGATAATGGAACCTTAAAATACAGTAGATAAAATCACGTTTTGGAGAAGCTTGACTGCTCTAAATCCTGAGTAACTCCTACAATCTGAGTAACTGAGGACCTAAGCCTTCCTTGTTATTTGTAGATGCAGTAGACCAAATAATTTCATATTTTATTAGTCAGGCACTGTGGCCTGGGGTGGAATTTTCCAAGTAATGCAGATTAGCTGTGCTTGCTTTGAAATCATGCTAAATATCCTGATAGTTTCAATGAGAACAGAGTTTGATCACTGTTGAATGCATCTAAAAATTCTTCCTTTTTAACATGTTTTCCAACTTTATATGAGCCAGTCCACAGAATCTGGTTCTTATCTCCAGGACCCATGTAGTGACTCATAAGTCATTATAAATAAGCACATCAGGCACAAATCATCTCTTCACAGAGCTCTGAGAAAGCATGTAAATGCAAGAAGTTTTAAATATCACACATGCAATTCTTGACCCTTCCTCTCACTGATGTTCCAGGGAAAGACAAGTGCCACTGAACCCCCCCCCCCATCTTTCCCTTTTCAGTGCATGGATATTTTTTGGATTAACTCTTTGTTTGCAATACCTTATTTTTCAAGTTGTGTGACAAGTATTGATCAGAGAAAGGCAAAGTAAACCGTAGTGGTCTTAGTGAGGCAGTTAAAATTATTCAATTACGGGGTTTTCTTCCTTTGCAGAAGATTTCCTATTCTGCTACAAACTCTGTGCATCACATCCACTGGCCAAGTTGTGGGAAAATTACGCGAATCTGATCCTCGGGCTATTCACCTTGCCTTGGGCTATTCAGCTTGCTTTAAGTGAACTAAATACAGAGCTAGAAATGATGATGTAAGTCGTGATGTACTGTTTCCTTCAGGAGAAGGTAACTAGTATTTAATGTACGTTAGTGATGAGCTGAAGGGCGCTGAGCGGATGGTTTGTTCAAAGAATGCAGCTTGAAATTCATTAAGTAATGGTCTAAAAGGCAGATTGCTAGACACATCATGACGGTGAAGAGAAGTAGCACTGGTACAGCGCTTGCTTATTTTCAAACGGGTGTGTCTGTCTTGGGACAGGATTTGTGAGCATCCACAAACAGCACTGCAGAAGGCAGGATAAAGTAAGTAGTTTATTCTCAAACCCTATTCTGAGCGAGTGCTCTTTTTCTCTTTTCCCAACATGCAGTACAACCTGTGAACCTCTGTGTCTCCTCTACATTATTTCATTCTCTTCCCAAATCCAGTAACTTCAAAAGTGAGCACCCCATCTTTCCCATCTCTTTCTGCTCGCTCTCTTTTGTACCCCTTAGGCCAACTCTGTTCTCACTACGCTAGTCCATCCTGGCCATACAGACCCCTATCCAGAGCCCAAGGAATTCTGCTTCTCCTCAGTTTGATGAGCTTCGGATCAGATCCATCACTAAGAGCTGATGAATTCCTCCATAAGTAAAATGATGTAGTCAGAGAAGATTCACAAGTTGTGCTATACTATGCTTTCCAGCATATGTCTTTATTTTTCCAGCTTCTTAGGCATATTTAAGAGTTTGATCAGTATAATAAAATGGTAAAGCAAACGATATAAATTCATGTCCATTTGATACAATTTTTTAAAATAAAATTCATAAGCATGCCAACAGTGTAGAATTTCAGCAGCTTGCTTTGTTAACCTCCCACCAAAAACAAAGATGTGAGAAACATTGCCTTCACACGTAGTCAGTTCTGATTTGAAGGAAGTGTTTTCAAGAACGTGTGCTGTCTTTTCTTACGAAAAAGATCTCATCTCTTCTGTTGAGATAAATGTCTTGCGGTATGTATACTGATGCATGTAACAGAGGAGAGAAATTACTTCACTGAGCAACAGATTTCCAAATGAACTGCTGCTTATACGCTACCTGCCAAAGCACAGAACAGCTAAATAATTTGTTAGTAAAGTTCACAGGAATGATATAAATATGAATTACTGTAACAGGACGTAGCCAAGAGGAGATCGAGTTCAGGGAGCTCTTATCGTGATGGATGTGACTTGCTTGGAGTTGAATGTCGGAAAGCTGGGTTCTTCTGCTACCAAACGCGATCAGAGGCTTCCAGTCTGCAAAGAGTTTGTTGGCACTACTACAGTCCTATTTCAAAATACCCAGATTTATATTTTCCTTTTGTATTGTATCTGTACAGGAGTCTGCAGCTACTGCGGTGATTCAGAAGCTGTTATAACCTTTCCTCTGTAGGCTGTTTTCTTTCTACACATAACAGCTTTCTACCCCACGGAGCGCTCTCACCGAGCGCTGCCTTCTGGAATCACTGCTGCTGGTAAAGACGGCTGCAGAGTGTACCATGCACAGAGTTAGGGGATGGGCTTTGTGCTGTACCATGCAGGAAAACCAAGGAAACGGAGCCATTTGGTAGCTAAAGCAGCGAGACGCATCTTGGCTCACAGCTTGATGCAAGCCCATCAAAGTCAGTCCAAAGCATCTCCTTTATTTCTTCGGGTCTGTGCTCAGGGCTGTTGTTTCCCCTCCTGCTGAGAGTTCAGACCAGTGACTGGAAAGATGATGTGATCCTTGGCATCTTTTCTGATCTTGGTTTTTTGGCTGCAGCTCTGCATTGGCTGGAATAAAGACCCTAAAATCAGAGAGTCAATGAGCAAGTATTGCTTGTGATTTCTTGAGTTGGCACCTGCATCGTTAGAAAGGGCTCAGGCTGCAGGTAGCCTTTAGAATATTTGGCAAGAGTGATGTGATCGCTTTGATGAGCCAAGAAGAGCTAGCAAAGGAACGTGGCAAGGCTCTTTATATAAATAATGCTTGTGACAGGCACGTAATAACTGAGTTCCCCTTACATTCCTGGCAACAAGCACTCGGACAAAGAGAAGGAAGAGCTGGGGTGTGGGATACTCCTGAAGTGCCCTGCTTCTGTTTTTTACAAAATACTTCAGTTTTAAGCCCAGCAGAACCAGTGAGATCAAAACAAAGTCTGTCAAGAGCCGTTAAAATCCAACATATTTTCAATTTCTAAATAATATTTTATGTTGCCATTAATCTTTGCAGCCATTACTGTCACAAGGAGAAGTTTTAACTGCTATAATTAGTGCCTAAACAAAGCAGTGTTTACAAGATGAGCCTATTTTGAGCCTGGAAAAATGATTTGCCAAGAAGACGAAAAAAAAATGCTGCACTTAATATGCTTTCTGTTCCAAGGGTCACAGCAAAGCAGCGGTGTTGCTAACAAACCCAACTCCTCCTTTTGTTCTTTCTCACACCCCTGTTTTTTTAAAATTAGACCTAAGAAGAAAATACAAGGAGAAAAAAACAAAACAAAAAAAAGTGGTCACGAGAGGTGGAGGGGAGGATTATCTCAGCAACAGCGGGTCGCCTCCAGAGCAACGAGGCTGTGTCTGAGGGAGGAAGGTTTCTCTGCCAGAAGGACCAGTCCTGGGGAGGTGTGTTGTCTCGGCTGCTTAGGGCTGAGGTTGTAAATGGGCTGGACTTAAGGATCTGGTAGCTGAAGGATATCAAAAGCCCTTACAACAGTAGGCATATAGGTAGCCTTATCTCTTCCTTATTGGGAGCAACTGTGCAAGACCGGTTTCAGGAGCAAGATCTCATAACTTTAGGGAACAAATCTTACCGCATGAAAAAGGTAGAAAAAAATTATACCTTCTGAACCGCACAAATTGATCACCTAGTCACACGGAAACTTTTCTAGCTAAAACAAGCTCGTAAGCTCCAAAGTGACGTAGCAATATTTCTTTCATTGGAAATCAATGATACTTTTCATCATTATCAATTTTTGTCAGAACGAAATCACCTTTTTAAAAAAAAAAAATTCTTTTATTTTTTCTTCAAGAAAAAGAAGAACCAAGGAGAGGGAATACCTCCAAAGACTATGCACCTGGGAGGGTGTGTGGTGATGGGAATTTTGGATCTGGGCTGCTATGAAAGGAAACCCAATTTTAGTTTCAAAGAACACTCTGAAGTCTTCATCAAGTTAAAAAAAAAAAAACCACACTGTTTGCAAAGGCATTGTTTATTTTAATTTCATTATTTTAAAGGGGTGAAACAAAACCAATCCAAAGCCACAGTTGTGATTAAAAAGGATTGCAATTAAAGAGAGTAAATAAGCATCAAGTTGGGAAGGAAAAAGGCACTGAAGTTGTCGATGAAAAGAGACCCACAAGGGACGAGAGCGACAGGATGAGCATGAGAGTCTAAACTTAAGATTGTAATCATGGATCAGACTTCTGGGAACCCGGGAAAAGACGGGGACCTAAGCGAAGGACTTCAGTAACACATGTAGAAATGAGGAAAAGTCAGTCAGGAAAATAAAGGGAGGAAAAGTGAG